GCCCCGGTGAGGGGCGGCCCAGCCACCAGGCGCTCGCATTCGAGCCCCAACCCCGGGCCTGGCTCCAGGGTGGGGCCCCAAATGCGCCATGCCAGGCGACGTCACGGTCCTTGATTTTAATCTATTCATAAAGGGCTTTTGAACCACTCTTAGTCTGACCCGTCACCCAGGACCTGTTTGCCTTTGGAGACCCTACCAGGGACATACAGCCCCCGACAACATAGCTCCTAGGATCACTCGGGTACTCAAACCCCTCCACCACAATAAGGTGGCGGTTCAAGGAGGAGTCTCTTTTCATTCGCTGGTGATTTATCCAAGTACCATAGAGGGCTGCCGCCCTTCTGACCAGAATGTCCACACAGCTGTTTGCATTAGCGAAAATCAGAGAAAGGGTGTTTGAAGTGAATTGTCTGATGTTTAGTAGCTCTTCTCTGGTGAAGGTAATCCAGGATGAGTTGAAGACTGAGAAAATGGGGATAAACAAACACATGAGAGAGAGCATGCTCCCAAGGCAGCCATACCCAGCACCATGATATAACCGTATATCTGAGCTACTGCATTTTGTCTTCAGCACAGTCATGGCAGCAGGTCAATTATACATTATTACACCAAACTCTGGAGACAGTTATAATGGATTTTCTTGAAGCCAAGTCTTTGTGCTCAGCCTTATAGAGCTGGTCAACCAGCAGTGAGACTGTCACTTTCCATTAATGGTGAAACTGATGTTTTGATTTTTTTGGTGAATGACCATTGAACAACTTTGTTTTAATCTTCATAATGACATGTTTACTCAAGAACATGTAACAACAGGAACCTGATTTTTGATCATACTGTATATACTCCACAATAATAATGTGTGGAGTACAGTTCTCTTCTAATTGAAAGGCTTTGGTTGTCACTGGAGATTTGTCAGGTGTCTTGCAGGCGTGTGTGCTGCACTGTTTCCTCTGTGATGGTCCACAATATTAACCCAGCTGACCTTTGCAGTCTGATAGTATTATGTGGTGTTAAACTGTGCCACAGCTCAAGGCTCAAAGCCTCAGAGAGCCTGCTCTGCTTTTGCTCTAGCAGCAGTCTAGCAACCACACACGCACACACACACAGACACACAGCAGCCTGGTTTCCATAGCAGGGCAGAGTGGGGCTAATCAAAGACAAAACAGGTCTGTGACTGCAGGGCAATTGGCTCAAATTTAACAAGAGGGTTTAAAAAAGAAAAACAAGGCAGTCCTTTGTGTGTAAAAGCAAATAAATTGGATTTATTTCTGCTGCTTATTTCAACAAGGCTTTCTTTATGATATTTCTAACTGCAGGTGCATATGGGACTGCTATTGTGTGTCTCTTGGTTGTGATCTTTGTTGACAGTTGGTTTTCTGACTCCTTTTTAATACATTGTGGCTCAAATTCACTGGGTGCTCACTGTGCCCACTTTATCCACGCTTGTATCTGCTTTAACCTCCATGTGCTCATGTCTACCATCCATTGTTTTTCTCCATTGTATACATTGTCACCACCTTGCCAGATGCCAGAAAAATCTTTATTTAAATGTAGTGCTAGAACTGATGAACGTCATCATTAGGTGGGATTTCTAAATAAATTCTGTACTGGACAGCTTAACTGTAAGTACACCATGCAGATTGTGTGTATTTTTAAACAAGGCTGCACTGTATTGGACCCTGTGTCCAATTAGGAGGATTCACCTCTGAGTTACAGTGTTGTAGGTCACAAAAACCAAGCAGGACTGTGCTCATATCACACAGTCCAGTGCTGGAAGGGAGGAGAAAATAAAACTCAGTGCTGAGGGTGTGAGAGATGGGCAGTGAGGTTTTTCTTGTGCAAATTGTAGCATGAATTCTAAATAGTGTGTAGACCATTCAAATGGGTGGTTATTTATTTAAGTAACATGAGGTACATTTTGTTACTCTTTCTGTAGTAATGAGGCCACTTTTCGAAAGATTAACCTGTGATAAGACGTTCACACAACATATAAACAGTTACAGTAATATGAATGCTTATAAAATCATGTTCTTGGGGTAAAAAAACATGTGCATGTTGTTTCCCAGGTTTGTTGGTTCAAAATTTGTGCTTCCATGCCGCGATAGCTGTGGCTGGTGGCATTATGTATGTTTTCGGGTTGTCTGTCTGTACGCCCATTCTCGTGAACGTGATATCTCAGCAATTCCTTGAGGGAATTTCTACAAATCTGGCACAAACATCCACTTGAGTTTATGGGTGAACTGCTTAGATTTTGGTGGTCAAAGGTCAACATCACTATATCTTCCCATCTGTCTCGTTCCTGTGAATTTGGCTGGCTGCCAGAAGCATACAACCACGGGTGGTAGTTCTAGTTTTACATAAGCCAATAATCGAGTAAAATGAGTGAGAAAAGACATGTATGGTCAGTAAGGTATACTGTACAGTGTTGTTAATGATGGATGTTTCCCCTGCTATGTGCAGGTAGATCTTTTTTTTTTTTTGGAGTCTGAAACCACCCTTGAGACGATGTAATGAAGAGTTGGTTAGCCAGGATTCCATGCTCAGAGCCCAGAGAGCATGCATCCAGCTTTGTCATCATACCTAATGTGCAATAACCCTGTGGAGCAATCACCTCACATTTACTAGCAACAGCGGAGTTGGACCACTGCCCTAATTTTGCTCAGTCTACTTAATTTTGTTCTAATGAATGACTGAACACATTTAACAGAGGTACTGTTATTCATGATGATAACATTTAATAGCCTTTCTTCCTGAACTTCATAAGTTTTATTATGTTACTACATGACCAAATATAAATTACAGTTTGAGGTATGAAATGTTTTCAAAAGTGAGATTTATTGATATACTCTCCTTTTGGTCTTAATTTGTAGGTCAGTGGCTTCTTTGGCTCGTTTGTTCACTAAAAATTTAGGATGCCAGCTCTTTGAGCCGAAGGAGCCAGTGAACGAGAACAATAAGAGCCAGAAGAGTCAGTGAATGAGAACAAAGAGCCAAAAGCCACTCGTGTGAACGTTATATAAGCTGGAAACAGGAAGTCTGTAAAAACAAACAGTGAAAACGTTTGATTTGGGCCAAACTGCAGAGCTTCGCTTCGGAAAGTAGTATGAAAATAGTGAGAGCATAAATAACCCGGAAGTGCAAACGAAGACCCAAAAGAACAAATTTAAGTGAATGCATCCAAAAAAAGCCAGCTTTACAAAGTGAATGTTTGCCATCACTAAAGGCAATTAAATCACTGCACAGTGCTGATGATGGAGGTTTTCCCATTTTTTGTGTGTGTGTGGCTGAAACATCCCTTGAGATGATGTAATGAAAAGTTGGTGAGCCAGGATTCCATGCCCAGATCCCAGGAGAGATAATTCATCCTGCTTTGTTATCTTACCTGACTTGCAGCAAACCTCCAGAACAAATAAGCTTGAGATCTCATTCAAACACTACCCGGGTAACAACACTATGATGACAAGAACAAAACATTACAGACACACAAGGGAAGTGGGGAATGAAAGTGCGAGGCTGTGGTGTGTGGATCAATGAGTAGCAGAGGTCCGATGTAATCTGGAGATGATATGTAAGATCTAAAGAAAGATGAAATGACTATTATTCTGACAAGCATCCAGTCAAGTCAACAGCACAACAGCTTATTTGTTATTAGACTGGAGGTTTTTGTGGAATGCTTGTGTATACACTGTCGTCGTCTTATATTGCAGATTTGAGTCCAGATGCACCAGGTCCTGATGAGTATGAAGTTGGAAGGTGATGAATAAATACTGTAGGTCAGAGTCTGTGGTTAGATCTGTGGATGATCTTGTGAGGTTCTTCACAAGATGGTGGAGTTTCAGGGGCTGTCTTCTTTCTTGTTGTCTCTGCTTTTCCTTTTCTTTAAACCCTCCTTGTTCTCCCTCCCCGTCTTGGTCTCTCAGTTGCTGTCCATCACCTTCTTTTGTCTTGTTGTTCTTTCTCCTTTGTGTTTTACATTCCTGTAGGGAACTTTCATGGGCGGAAACAAGGGGGTGGCACAGCCCACCCCGAGAATCTGATTAGCCACCTCTGCTGCTATCTCCTCCAGAGTCAGAATGTGATTCTTGCTAGTATTAATGAATGAAAAATAATGGCAAGAGAACTCTCCTCCCCATTTTTGGCTAGTGTGTGGGGGTCTTGTGGTGTATGGAATACACAGTTACACAGAAAGATGTTATTATTACTGATGGATTGTTGTGTACTTCACATTTACTGTTGCAGCTGGTAAAGGGAGAGCTAGGTTCAACTAGCTTATATGCATGGAATTTAAATCACTAAGTAACTAGTAACTAAAGTTCTAAAATAAATAGAGTGGAATTAAAAAGCACAATAATTGCCTCTAAAATGATAGTGAAGTCAAAGTATGAAGAAACAGAAAATGAAAATACTCATACAGATACCTCAAAATTGTACCTAAATACAGTACTTGAGTAAATGTACTTAGTAACTCTCCACCCACTATTAAGAAGACAATAATTTTATATCATGCAATGCAGCATGATGTTAGTGACACTAACCTACCTGATCTTTCCTGTCTGAACAGATAACATGGACATCTTGGGAGGCCTGGTGTCAGTGGTCTTCACTACATACACAGGCACATATTCTTCATTGTAAGTGAGTCTAGGTGAAACACAGTGGAGGCAGATTCATAACTTATTAGACAGTTCTAGGAGCTCATTTTCAATGGATCTGACTACCATTACTACACCTACCCACACCTCGATTTGACACGCTGGAGGAACTGTAGTCCTGTCTTATGCTGGGCTTTATTACTGTCTGCAGATACCTATTCTGAGGCTGATGAAGTCATTATGAATCCCTTCTGTTAAAAAAAGCTCCAGTGTGGCAAATGATCATTTTCATTCCAACTGAAGATGTATGAGATCCATAATATTTCTTAGCAAATTTCATGTCTGATTCCATGAAACGCAGCCATAGTTGGTTGTCAGTTTCGTCTCTGTTTGTGTTATGATTTCTGAGGTTCCGGAGAGACATGAAATTTCAGCCCTGGTAGCAGCAAGGGGAGGTGGTTCAGTCTACTGATAATCAGAGTTTTGCAAGTGATGATATGAAAGTAACTTTTTTAAAACATGTCTCTGTGTTTCAGGCATCTCCATACTAGACACTGCCATGTGATGTTTTTGCGTTATATTTTTCTTTGGTTTTCAGCTTTAACTCTTTCAGGTGAGGATGTCTCGACTGGGGTTAAGATCTTATAATCATCAAGGGCTAATTTCTTCCAGGTTAAACCACATTTGAAGTACTTGCTGGGACACTTCTTTTGATAGAACCAGCATTTTAAACACGAGCTGTAAAATAAATATTAAAAAAAAACCTGAGACTTTTTTGTTGTTGATTGTCAAGGAGCTTCATTTCCATGTTTCCAACTCTCATAATTAACTTTCTGCTCTTTCACTGTGCTGACTGGGCTTTTGATAAACCCTTAAGAGATGGAAACATAGTGATTGTGGTATATAATTGTGTTTTGGAGTGTCACTAGACTTCAGTTGCCAAGATTACCATGTCATTAACTAGAAGAAAGGAAGACAATTTCCCAGAGTGTTTTTGAAGAAGAGACCACATGAGCGCATTGTGCAAAACAACAGACTTCTGTGCAAGTGTTTATATTTTCCTTTGGTATCATTCTTCATCTATTGCATTCTTTCTTTCTTAACAGTAGTTTACTGCAGCATTTGGCTGACTTTCAACTTGGGAGAGCCTCTTTCTTGTGTGGGTACTTTTTTCTCTTTGGTGAAAACTAAATGTTATTTTATTGGTCTCTTTGCAGTTATCTGCAACTGTGGAGATGCATACACATAGATATTCCCCACAAAGTACATTGTCTGGATGCTTTCCCATTTCCTCTGCTCAGCTCCTAAGGGGCAGAAAAAGCTTCAAACTCAGTAATGGAAATGAGGGGGGAAGCCTCTGAGGTCTCTGCAGGAGGTCACACAGTTTTTTCTGATTAAACACCTGATATGAGCATCACATATCTCTGGCCTGCATATTTAATGAACATTTACAACAGTGAAACTTTTTCGTTTCAGTATAAACTGCTACACAGTATCCAGCACATGCAATGTAATCACCCAAACAAAAGAGTAGTTGTAATCTGATGTAAATGACCTCTTTCTCCTCCTCCTGCTGCTCCCCTCCTCCCTCTACATGCAAAGAGCAACAGGTCTAAATCTGTGCACAGCTGCGCAAAGCTTGTGGTTGGTCATAACAAGGACCTGAATTATTGACTTGGAATAATTTGTTCCTAAATTTGTAGAAACTGCAGCAATGCTGTTCCGTAGAGCTATAGCGAACCTGAAGAGGTACCATGGTGTAAGTAAACTTTACTGAATTCCTCTTTATTTCTTTTTAGTTTTTATGTTTTCAGTAAGAGGCTATAATCTGTTTTTATGACCAAAAACATCTTAGCCTGCCAGAGCAATGCATGTTATTCAACATCAGTACAACATTAACATTAACTGTAGAAGCTACTGTATGTTGTATGAGTGATCTCTTCTATAAGGACTTGGTGAGAAAGAAAATATTGCTCAGTGAATCTACCCTAATGAACTGTATATTAAAAACCACTAGATAGACTTAACTATTAATTCAGTTCTCTCCTTTTGGCAGTAAAATACAGTGGTTAAAAAAACTGAAGATTGTCTGCAGGATTTTTAGTGTTGGTGGAAAAGGTTAGGAAAACCAAGAGACATTAAGTTTAATCTAATGTTATTTTAGCTGTAAGTCATTAGGTGAAGTTCCTCCAATGGGTCATTTGAAATCAAGTCAAACTGAGAGAAGCTTAAGACTTTAAAAACACACCCATGACTTGTACAGACTTCTTAAATCTAAACTGACAACATCTAGGTATTTAGGAAATGAGTTGCTGGAATAAAATACATTTTAGAATTTGAGCAGTCCCTACAGGGGATAGGATTATTTCCAGATTTTTAACCAGCTCTGCTGTCAGAGAGTGGAGTGACAGTTTTAACTTCTCATCATCAGCTTCCCAGGAGAGAGAGAGAGAGAGAGAGCGTGAGTGAGAGAGAAGCTGTGGGGGGGCAAATCCCTATGAGAATCTACTAGAGCGCCTCCATATAGTTTATCATCCTGACAGATAGACAGGCTGAGAGACGGACAGGAAGGAAGAGAGAGAGAGAGAGAAAGAGAAGAAGCTCCAGGGAGCAAATCCCTGTGAGGCTCTACAAGCCTCTTGATCAATTTACAAACAGTCAAGAGAGAGACAGATAGAGAGACAGAGACAGGCTGTTAGAACATCAGAAAGTGAGTTAGAGAGACAGAAAATCAGCCAGACAAATTGACAGATAGGTATGCAAACATATATGAAGTCAGACAGACAGACAGACAGATAGATAGAAAAGGATAAAGTCTATTAAAGCCAGGGCAAGTCAAACACAGACAGGAGGCAGTCACTCCCCTTCATGTAGCTCCAAGGTTGGTAAATCCAACTGGTGGTCGTTGCGTCTTCCACAGGACAGCATAGAGTCCCAAAGTTGTGAAATTAATTCCAACAGGTAGCATAGCTCCAACAATAACATCCGCTCATTAACCAGCAACACATCACATGCAGCAGACACACTGGCCTCAAGCAGTCAAAATAAACAGGTACTGTGCTCCTGGGGAATCTGGCGTTGATCAGCTGATCGTTTACTGCTACAGGGGGGCTTCACTGGCCGGCTGCTTGTAGGTTAGACCCGGTCAGGTAAAACAGTTAGTCCCTGACAGGAACATTCCTGGACATGCAGTAACCTCAGGCCCTGTATTTTTCTCCACATCCTCTGGTCACAGTGCAGCAGGAGGGAAAATATATCCACAAAACTAGGCACAGTCAAAAAATTCCGCTTTTACAATGGCACCTTGGATGTCATGAACGTGCAACTGCCTGGATTTATGCCTGTTCAAGGAGATCCTTAAACCATCAAGTAATACTCTATTTTATTTAAAAAAATCTTATGAGTGAGAGTTTGCGAGACTTGTATAAACCGAGCTGCTTCTGCATAGAAATACTAGAACATTCTGTACATTCACCTCATTTTTTGAGCTTTAGATCACGTCTAAGATGTGAATTCACCAATGTAACATAAGTCAAAAAGAAAGCAAAGCATGTCAGGGGCCTTTAAGTGATTAATTTAGGGATAGTGCAAGCACAGAGGACAGTGAGTTAATCACACAGACGGGGAGTAAACACAACGTTAAACAGAGGCAAAGAGATCATGATCGAAGATTTTAGAGAAAGTCTAAAATGCGGGGAGAGAGACAGTCAGAGTCACAGGCAGACATTTAAAGACAGACAGGTCTGTGGTTGTTCAGCCATGCCGCTGTAGCTCTTCAGCTGACAGTAAAAAAGTTTAGTTAAATAATTATTGTTGACTACAAATCAGCAACTGATTTTCTCACTCTGACTTTTTAAATTCAATGCAATTACCAAATAACATGAAAAATATCAAATAAAAGTCCTAAAAGTATAGAAGAAACATCAGTTAAATGTAAAGTAGTGAAAGTAGAAGTATATATTCTGAAGACAAACACTGACTGACTGATAAAAGGAGTCATGATGCTGAAGCTGACTGAGGCTGATGCAACTTAGAAAAGCAGTTACTTTTTTATACTGTTTCTTGCTATAATAATAGCAGCTTAACATATTGTATAGAGGCTTATTCTCTGGCAGACTTTACTTTGGTTTTTATGGTCAGCAAAGCTGGATTTTTAAGAAGTGCCCTCAGTGTTTGTGCAGTGCTAAAACTAACCCATCTAAACACACTTCCAGTAAAGGTCTGAGGAGAACAGACTGCCTTTTCAGGAAGCAGCTGTGAAACTGAAAACTGCACTGAATGTCAGGTTCAGTGATAGTGATTACAAATCAGAAAGTGAGGAGATACCTTAAAAAATATTCAGAACAGTTGTGAAAATGTATTAGTACAACAAAAAGGAAACTGGATCCATAAAAATATACAAATATAACTAAACCTGAAATCATAGTTGGCATTTAAATACTTAAACAAAAAAATTCAGTTCAAAATGACATTTCACATTTTCAAGCTTTCTGTGGGTACAATATACCTGCTCATTTTTGACCACGTAGTTACAGTCTTATTTTATTTCATTTTATTTATCCTGATGTGTTTTTCCAATAACAGTCTTCTGATTCTAATTTTGCATGTCAGTCTTTTCTCAGTGACAGTTTATTTACACTTGTCACTCTCCTGGCTAAAGAAACAAGCCACACCAGTGAAAGACACTGTGAATTAAGCCCCCAGAGAAGCAACCTAATAAAAACACACAGACCACACAAGAGTAGACTACAGCAAATTACACAACTTAAAACCTCTTGTACTGCTTTGGTTTTGCTGTTTTTTTATAGTAGACTACCTGTCATTACTGTGTACACAATAGTACTGAAGGAAGACAGTTTCCCCTATATTGACAGTGACTGTCAGGCTCAGGACATAGAGCAGGCTGTTCTAATCACAGGGTTGGTGGTTTGATTCTACGCTCCTCTGGCCCACATGCAGAACACTGAACCCCAGGTTGTTCCCAGTGGTCACCACGGCACTTTGCATTGCAGCTCTACCGCCATCGGTGTGCGAGTGTGTGCATGAAAGGGTGAATAAAAGGCAACAGTTGTAAAGCACTACGTAAGTGCAGTCCATTAGTATATGAAGAGGATAACAAATCCTTCCATGAACCTTAAACTAAACAATTAATGGCTTGGTGAGCAGCAAGCTGATCATAGAAAAACTAGGAGAAAATTAAAGATGGTGCTCTGTGTATTAAGCTTGGCTACATGTTGGACAGTTAGCAAAAACCATCAGCTGGCGACAGAACATTAATAAAACTTTCATTTAATAATTCCATTTATTGTAAGTATACAGTGGAAATAAACACTATGTATGACATATATGTCTTTTTTCTTTTGTGATTTATTTTTGTTTGTTTGTCTGTCAGTTTGTTGGGCAATCACGCCTGCTTCGTTCCCAGCAAAGTGTATTTAACCACGTTTCCTGAGTTTATTGATCTTTCTGTGGAAACTTAAAACAGGTTTTTTTCAAACTTCTTTTACATTGTTAAACAAAAAAAGCTTCTCGTCCAGCTATTCTGCAGAGCGCCCCGCTGCCAATAGGCCTACATGAATATAAACAATGGTGGAACGTTTACAGTTTCTGTATTGCTGCACTGCATTTACGTAATAGTAATTTTAAATGAATAGACATTTTGATAAATAACACATATTCACAGTCTTAACATGATTTGTATGCTAAAACCTGTATTTAGCTTGGGTTAGCACTTTATTTATACAGGGTAGGTTCACTGTGTATATGATCTTTTAACAATTACACAACATTAGAGATTCAAACAGACAACACAGCTACAATGTGCAGGCTTAGTCACAAGCCAACAGTGTATCAAGACAAGAGGCAGGGAGGCCACAGTTAGCATTGCTATGTTTAAAGGCCAAAAATAAAATCCACCTACCAGCACCTCTAAATTTTCCACAGTGACAGGACCCCAGGGAGTCTGGCCAAAAACTCCTTAAACTGTGTCAAATTTACAGTTGCCAGTGGGTGGATTCTTTTCTTATTTTGGACAGAGCCAGTCGATCTACTGCTAACATGTCTATACTTCCTCCAGTCAAAAACTGAACACTGAGTATATTTAGGATTTGACTGCATCTCCACCGCTGGCTGTGAAAAACAGCTGTCTGTTCCCTCTTATTGTGAAAAATCCACATACAGACTAAGTAAAAAACTGAGAAACACATAAACTAAGATGGAAAAACAAAATTAACATATATTTAAATATTTGTTAATCTCACTCTGTCTGCAGGTCATCCCCCAGATCACCTTCATCTGTTTGGGATTGGGGGGAGCCTTTCTATATCTGATCCGCTTGGCCAAAGGACCCTATGTTGTGTAAGGACCTTCAAATTTTACTGCGATATCTGATAAAATGCCTTAAAAACAAAATGTTCCATCACCATGATTGATGATAACTGCTTTCATGGATGTGTTTCAAGAGCTTGAGCTATTTACTGACCAAATCAAAACCTTTTAGATGATTTAAACATCCACATTTTCCCATTAAGCAGAAATGTGATTTCTCATTCTCTTTCCAGTGCTCACATTCATTACCCCATCAACCAAGGCCTTGATCAATTTATTAAAAAGAGTGTCCTGGTGGTGGGACAGTGTATGCTGAGATCAAATGTTACTATACAACTTATGTTTGTGTTTGCTTCTATTCCAAAAGTTATTTTTTTATTGTGTGCTGTCTAACAAAGCAGGGATTAAAGCTCTCAGAGATATCAGATCACTGGGGAGTGAATATTGATGTGCTAGGTCTGACCTGAGAGCTTTATTCATGTCTATCAGATTACCAGACAGCCTAACATGCTGACTAGTTATCACAGTTCTATGTATATGTTTGTACTTTTAGCTGGGACAAGACCAATAACCCTGAGCCATGGAGTAAACTCGACCCCACATACCAGTACAAGGTAGTACAACACACATACACATACAAATATTCAGTGTTGGGAAACTGGGATGACATTCATGATGTGCAGTTTTGTTGACTTAGTTGTTGTTTTTTCACACAAGAAGCGTCTACTGAATTTGATTTTCTTCTTCCTCAGTTTCTGGCCGTTGAGACCGACTACAAAAATCTGAAGAAGGAGGGACCCAAGTTCTAAATCTCACAAACCAGAGTGAGAAAATCACAGAAAGTCCTGATCTATGGTCCAGATTCATTTTCTGCTCCCTCCTTACTGCCCGGGGCAGATCTAGAAAATTTTGAATGGGGTGGCCAGGCTGGGGCACAGACTGAGAGAGGGGTGGCACATTTGAAATACATGTAAAAAGTAAATGAATCCATAGTTCTATGAAATAATCGACCATACATTTTTAAGAATCAATGTGAAAATAAGACAGTGTTATTGTTAGCTAACTTTGGCTGTGGTCCTTATTTACCCCAGCCCACACCGTACTCCACACTAACACAGACAAAAAAAACACACCGTACTCCACACTAACACAGACAGAAAAAAGAATGCAAACATCATGTTGCATGCATGATAGAAAATAAAAACAATCTGACCAATATCAATTATAAAGCACCAGAAAAATGTTAGTTGTATTTAAGGCACCAATTCTTTATTTTTTTTCATTCATGAATACTGACAAGTAACACATTTTGACTCTGGCGGGGGTGGGACCAGGGGTGGCCCATCAGATTCTGGCCACCCCCTGGATCTGCCCATACTTACTGCAGGTAACATTGGACGCTGAGGTCACACACAGATACTAAAAGAGTTAAATATGTAGCATTTCTACATACTTCAAGCTTGTACAGCAGATATACAACAGGCCTATGCTCCCCATATGTCCTCAGGTGTCATACCAGCAGTGTCATATCACGTTTTTGTGATTTCTACTAAATTTGCTAAAACATGGCATCATAGGTAGCCATTTTGAAATCTGAATCTATTATTTTGAAAGACAACATCCAAACATCTATTGATTTTTCTGAACTCACAGGAAGTCAGTTGAGACAAAACGCTGCCTTGGAGCAGCAAGAAAAATGTATCTAAAAATCTATAACTGCATAGGATGCATTCAGAATTGACATTAATTGAAACATATAATTTTTGTGCTTAAACTTGCAAACACACTGGTGCACCACGTGTCTTTAGCCTTTATTTTTTTAATGTCTGAAGGTTAAAAGTAAACCTTGTCATCTTTTTCTACAGCTGAAAAGCTTTACTTTTCTGATACTTTACTGTATATATACTACTTATTTAAGTGTGAAGCTTGTGGGAAAATCTGATTGGTCTGCTGCAGCACATTGAAGATCAAATTTATGTGATCTGACGGCATGTGTTTCTTCATAATCATAATACAATTGTAGATTTAGCTGGCACTACATTCAGCAGTTACTGTGTAAGATATGAAAAACAGCAGTTGACTTATTTCAGTAAATGAACTGTTTGACTCCTGTTTGCATGAGAGTGTCTGTTTGCCTCCCCCACCGTCTCTCATACATAGACAGGTGACTTTCCTCAAACACCTGCACGGTACAGAGTCAGATACAGATCTTTTTCCACATGCTAAGATAAAAATACACAATCAGTAACTGACTGAACAGATTCATCTGTCTGTTGTGCAGCTGCCACTTTGAGCCTGACTGGTGCTTTTATGACCACATTTAGTAGAATCTATTTGTGTGTGCACTTGTCTGTGTGCACTAGTTTGTGTGACAGCAGCCCAGCGTCTTTGATCAGTGTGGCAGGAAGCTGAACAGTCCCTCAGCATGGTGTTGATGTATGACAGCGCGGCAAGCTGTGTACAACCAGTCCACATCCACGTACCACTGTCTCTTTTATCCTGCAGACACAAACACATACAATGAGTATAGGTTGAAGCCGACTGATGAAATGAATTAGACAGAAATTCTTTCTGTGATTGATTTTAACATGATGCAGCTAAAGAAGAAGAAAGTGGTTGAAATAATCACTTAATGCATGAAGACTTTAAAGTAACAAAATTGCACTTACAAACTCTATTTACTAGGAAGATGCCTACAGTAAAACAGCTTTTTCCATTCTTGATTAAATCTTAAAATACTGACACAATATTTATCCTTTCTTTCTTTGCAGCTTTGCTAAATTTTTTTCTGAAGGATACATTATAAACAAACTCTTAAATTTTTACAGGGGCACTCAGCTTTGCTCAGTGAAGTTGAGAGTCCTGTTTCATCCTCTTAAGAAACCTCACTCTGCTCCTCTGGCTCCTCACTGCCTAATGTGTTTTTCTTCCTGTAATGCAGCAAAAAGAAGGAACGAAGTGGGAATAAGAATAGCAAAGATCAAAATGTCATCCTCCTTTTGAACACTACATGGATTGTTGTTGCAATAAGAGGAGGGCTAGTGACCTCGCACGATGGAACATGAGGAATCATTTCCCTAAACAATATTTAAAAGCCTTGAAATCTCACACACGCACACGCACACACTGCATCAAAGGAGGTCATGAGAAACAGGCACAGGGATGAAGCAGATGAGTCGCTATTTATGTTGTGATGCTCCATGTGCGTCTGCATGTCGTTGTATTTGTTTGTGGGCGTTGTTTGATAACAAAGCTGAGAGCTCCTCTGACCTTTGACCTGAAATTTAGCTGGCCAGTGTTTATTGAAGAAACATATGGCCCTTGGTACTAATCTGAAGCAATAATCTTCAACTGAAAACATGAAAGACAGATTGAGAAGCTGAGCAGGACACAAAGACGTCTGACACTCAACAAAAGTCCATTCAGTTCTTCAGTGAAATAAATATCAGTCACTCTCTTTTAGTGCTGCTCTATAAAGCACTCAGTGTCTCAGTGGAAACATTCATCAAAATAAAATAAGCAGCAATGTCTATAATTTTATCCCAGAGTGATAAGAAAGAAAGCCTGTTCTCATTTATCTGTCTGGGAGTATAAAGATTTGACTGCAGCAATTTAAGAAACTGTGGGAGAAGACGCATTTAGAGAAGTATGAATGTAGGTTTTCAAGATTTTGTGAGGCCAGTGAAGTTATGTAATGTTTTCATTTTCTCATGTATCTACTGACCTGACTGTTTATCAGGATTATGGAATGTGGGGTAGCAGGGTGACATGAAGGGCCAGGATGACAAAGATGAAATGGTTATCAACCTCTGCTAACGGCTGAGTGAAGATGGTTTCATCTTCCTCAACCTCCTACTTATTTCTGTTTGTTTGTGCAATCTGGCCTTTTTTTAAAGGACATAATACGATTTTAATTGAAAATGTAAATTTATTTAAATTGAAAATCCACAAATGTATTCACATGGAAAACAATACCAGCTCTACAGTGAACATAATTGGACAAATCAGTGAAAACACATGAAATGGTTACATCCAGAGTTTTTCAGGGTGTGAAGCTTTGTGTCCAGCTGCCATCATTTCCAGGTATTTTCTCTGTCTAGAGAGAAGATTTTATTTTCTTCTTCTGGACTGCTCCCTGAAACCGAGAGGAAATGACCAGAGGAAATGCCAGCAGTTTAACACAGTGTTTATGAAAACTGAAGAGTCTCCTCCCTCCCTCGAATGTAAACATAAATCATCTGACCTGTGAAATGTCTCATAGCAGCACATGCACATACAGCAGTGATGCCAATACAAGTGACAGCTGAGAGATTCTGAAATACTAGAAGAGCAGTTTTTGCTGCAATAAAAATCAACTGAACAGCATGTACATTGTGCATTCTTCACAAATCCTTCTCAATGGCAAATCAGAGTGAAAAAGAGGGTAACATTAGCATGTTTTACAAAAAAAAACTGTTGCTGTGAGTTTCCCAGGAACTGGGACAAAAGCTGAAGTTATTAAGGGCCCTAAAGGAAGCTTAGTGACAAAAAAAAGCCAAATACTTAAAGACACTTAACAGTCCTTTTCAACTTTGGGCAACAGACAAGAGCTCTGTGTGTGAAGAGAAAACCTTTTTAGGGAAAGCACAGCAGCTGGTGATGTGTAAAGTAGGGTTTTTAATGTAGGACTTTTACTTTTAGCGCTGTATTTTCACAGTGTTGTAAATACTTCTACCACTGATGATCAGTGATGCTGGACAATGACTAAGTTCCAAATGACATGAACCTGACAGTGTTTGGAAACAACTCATTTCTATGGTGACATTATTTTAAAAATCTTACACTGTTAATTAGAGGAGGTCTAAAGGATATTTCGATGAGAAGGTGGAGAAACTGCGTTAGTGGTCAGTGAATCCTGGGATGGGGAAGGGCCTGGCAAACAGCTCCACCCACTGGTGGAGGCTCTGCAATGTGTGACACGGTCTCTGGTTCCTCCAGCAGGAAGGATTTTGAAGCTGGCCAGGCTTCCTGTTGAGAGGCAGAAAAGGCAAAACAACAAGGTTAAAGTTTCAGTTTTATATATTGGCCTTGTTAAAACATCCTGTAGTGCTGCAAAAAGCACTCATAGTGTGTATCTGTGGTTAAAAACCTGCTAGTTACAGACTGTACGAAAATTATTAGGATTGAGAGGGGGGCGGAACATTGTTTCACCTTTAAACAACAGCAACAACAAAACCACCATCTACGCAATATCTCAAAGTAATATAACACGATTAATAGTACAATGCATGGTGCCATAAAGAACTAAAAGTGCACAAAGGATTTAAGATGGTATATTCCAATATAAAGAAGGTTCCAGGTTCAAGTGGAGTTTGTATGTTCAAACATCAAATCCAGGACCCTCTCAGCCTATGTCCATCCCACAAGGCTGAAGGTCAACTAAGACTGGTTGTCTGTTCTACCTGAGAGGAGGAGGAGGAGGGAAAAGATTCATGCCAAAATGAATGATTAGGATAAAATGATATTTTGTTGAGTCTCTAGGACTAAGTTTGACTGGCAATGTGATTTCGGTTCCCTTCACTCTCCAGTCAAACTTTCATGCAGGCAGACAATGATAGAGCTTCATCACTTTCTCTTTAGCTTAGCTTTTTTCCATCCATCTGTTAAGAGAGGTTTAAGAAAAGTTTAGTGAACATTATTTATTAATTTATTTATTGTTTAGGGATTTAATAATTGATACATTTCTGCTTTTCCTTTTACCACTACTACATCTTTGTGTACCTGACATAATTCTGGACATACAAAGGTACCTTCTCCATTCGAGCGTAGCTGATGAGGCGAGCATAGGTGCTGGTTTGTGCTATGACGAGCCTGGGTCTGATGTGTCAGACTGTCTTTTCCAGCTGGTCATAATCTAGCAGACCTGTTCTGGGCTGAGCTGATATACAGCAGCAGGACAGCAGTGTCACTCGAAGGTTTTTACAGTTTTCGCTTCTTCACAGATTTATGTTGGCAAGTGTGGTTTGAACTTTTATTTCTATTTACCAAAAGCCATGTAAATGACTCACATCCAGCTTATAGGGCACCGATTCAAAGTAGATGGAGGCGGCTGAGATTCTCTTGCTGTCTGTCATGTAGCTGTGGGTAAGGCTGAAATGTTGTAGTATAGAAAGGTGTTCAGCAAGAGAGGCTTCACGCATGGTTTTGGGTAGCATTGAGAACTTATTCTGACATCTCTGGATCCTTCCTTCTTTTCCACCTTGCCAATATATTTACATCGTCAACTACAATACAAATAAATCCTCTGAAACTGACCTTATTCACCCTTGTTCTCATTAGCAGCTCATTTTTTATGACCGTACCTTGTAAATGAATTAATCTGGTGATATAAAGACTAAATCTTCTTCATAGTATGATGTTAAATTTGTGTCTTTTGAGAAGAGAAATTCTGTCACCTTGTTATCCAGTGCCACTGAGTACATTGTTTTGGTATTGTTTATGTCAAATATATCTTCAATGCATATTTTTATATATATTATTTGCTTCTCTCTTTCTTTGCTCCTGCTAACTCCCAACTAGTTATCATATAAGTCAGACACCACATCTGACATATAAAACTTGCAGGTCTCCATTCATCCTGGCTATCACCTGCATTAGTAATATGAGGAGCAAACTCTATTTGGTTGTCAGCTTGGAAACAAATTATTTAAGACATATTCCCTTTTATATATTCATACCTATATTTCAAAAGCACAATGGCAAAGTCTCAAACCATTTTATGGCTCATTCAGTAAAATTGTAGCAACTACTAATGCAGCATCTGTCAGATAATGTCAGAATATATTTGACATGTACTAAAACATTTACCCAGTGACTGCAGTACATCACTTTATTATACCCCGCAATTATTGCTTCTTTTAAATTAAACATTTCTTAGAATTGTAAGAATCACAAGTTATTGTATCGTTAGTCAGTGTATGTAATACTATGTCCTCTCATGAATATGCTGGTTTTCTGGAAAAAACCTTAGTCATCACCCAAAATGTTTGAAATTCATCTAAATTGTCACACTTTTGTACAAACCAGCAAAATCAAGAGCACAAACAGCAGGTGTAATTACATTTATTAATGTAAATGTATGTGTTTGTTCCTCTCCTGACCTTTACTGTTTAGTTTACTTGCTATACAGACAAATAAAATAAAGAACCTAGAAGCTCTATATTTGAGTATCTCTGGCAGCAACATTTAAAATATTCACTCACTGTCCTCCATCGGGCAGATCCAGGACTGTGAGTCGGTCATGAGGCTGCAGTACAGAAGTGTAGGCTGCAAAGTTAGCAGGGGATCCAGAGTAAGGCTGGACATTGATGCCCCACAGATCTGACTCTAGACCAAAGGTGGTGAGTGCTCGCTTCTGACACAGCAGCTCAATCTTGTCTACAATCTCTGCACCTCCATAGCACCTTAGAAAGACAAGAGACATCAGTTAAGGTTTGGTACTTGTTTTCCTGTGTGTTAAACATTCATACATTTTCTGCTTGTTATTCACACATTGGAGCTGGCAGTTGATGAGTGTCTTGCTAAAGGGCACCATGATGGCCAAGAAAGTGTCAGTCATCCTGTTCCCACACCTCCCACTGTATCGCTTTTTATTACAATTTATCACGTCATTTTGTATTGTATTACAATATATCGTATTGTAATGTATCACATTTTAGCATATCGTGTCATTTAATATAAAATATCACATCTTATCAAAATAAAATTTCACAAACCTCTGTAATTTTCTGAAGCTTCAAATGTTTTGAGCTTTTGAAAATCATTTCATAATTATAGTCACAGTATTAAATTACATGAGCTTTATAACCATGAAAGCTCATTATTCCTGTAGTTACCTTTGTCCCCTGGTATCCCTCAGAGTGTTTGTTTAGACAGGAGCCCTGGGCCTCATGACTGCAGAAGTTCTGACAGGACAAACTTGCACAGTGTCAAGATCCAGAGCCACACACAGTGCATTTTTTATCATGCTTATATATTCAGAACACTGTCACCATCCATATATAACCTTTACTTATCTAGAAAAGGGTGACTGAACACCCCTGCTCTTTTTCAGCTATAGGCCCGGCTACACAGTCCACCCACAGTCTAAACTTGTTACCCAGTATGCAGTTCAGTTCATCTATCAGCATTTCTCTTGCAAATACCATTTATAAAAACAGTCAAACAAGACGCAGAATGACAACGAGATAATTTATTTACAGTACAGCCGTTAAATTTGTTGCATAAATTTCACAAAGGGCATCTATCAGCATTTCTCTTGCAAATACCGTTTATAAAAACAGTCAAGCAAGACGCAGAATGACAGCGAGATAATTTATTTACAGTACAGCTGTTAAATTTGTTGCATAAATCTCACAAAGGGATCATTACAACCTTTTGTGAAAGCAGCAAAAATGAATTAAATTAGCTTATCTAACAAAAACTATTAGAGCATTAAAGTATTAAAGGTACTATAGTTAAATAAAAGGATGAATATAGAGCATATACTGAATCCCTTTGGGGTTCAGCACAGTGTCATGTCTCCCAAAGACACTTGAGAGTCAGAGGAGAGATGGAGCTGCAGAAAAAGAAATGAATGTAAATGAATTTTTCTCCCTGTCTCAGTCTTTTTTTCTCCCACTCACTCTGCACATATTTTCTCTCCTGTCCTCCTCAGCCACCCCCTCTGCCTTGTTAAACCTGTCACTGTTTAGGGTTCCCTCAAACCAGTGGCTCATGTGACATAAAACTCTCTCTCTGACATTTCATACAAACACACACACACACACACACACTATCACCCCTCCTCCTCTGCCTGGGCTTAAAATGTGGAGATCAATGGGAGACATCAGGGATGGAACCTAACGGGATCATATAACTATGTTCCTGAAGAAAAGAAAAATAGAAAATAATGGGGCTTTTCGTTGCGAGCCTGCAGTGGAGACTGACTGAGAGCACATGCACAAAAAGATGAAAATCTTTCAGTTGTCATTTTGACTGATAGTGCTCTGGATTCTTAATTGCTTGAGAGCAAAAGAGCACAAGATCTCTTCTTTTCCCACAGCTTCCACTTAGATGAAATCAGTGCCTTGTAAGGGGGAAAATGCAAAGGAAATCTCAGTGAACTCTCTTAAAACAGTTACAATCTAGAAACTGCAACTCCGGTGACTTGTGGCTGCAGCTGATTTTTCTTGTTTTTTGTCTCATGTGCAGCATCTTTAACACCTCTGTGCACAGAAAAACACAAAGGATAATTAGTAACTTGGTTCTTCGGAACTGTTTGTGCCCTGTATTGACAGCTGCTATCAAGGTGATACAAAGAACATTTTTACAACTGACTGTGAATTATCTCTGTTAGTCTATGGGGCTGTGCAGGTCTTCCATGAGTGTTGTGGCTACACAGGAGAAACCTGTGCCAAGTTTCCACAGTGGCTGACAATGAGTGAAACTGAAACGCTTAATGTATTTTTGTAATGTGATATAATTGGACCGCTGTCTGCTTTTTGGGGGGCAAATTTTATCTTATAGCCCAACCGCAACAGCACTCCAAAAATCTGAAACAAGTTCACTTGTGAGTAAAAGATAAACAACTGGATTTTAGCTTTTGTAAATTGCGTACAGCAATCCTTCAAAGAGCTCATGTGTTCAAATGTCTGTTTTTTACAGTTTCAATTTGTGTTCACATATGTACGCCCTGGATGTAAATGAAGACATTTTCACCATATGAACTTATAAAACATGTAAGTAATGACTTGTAGTTTATTATAATTTTGATAATGACTTTTGAAAAGCAGAATGTGAAAACCTTTTTAAGTGATTTTATCAGTGGTTAATAATACATGTAACAAGAAAAATCATGATTGAATGTAAATCATGAAATGCTCCACTTCCTCTGCCCCTCCCTTTTTATTCTTAGTCTCACCTTGGATGTGATGAGCTCCAGTCCCCGATGCTGCCTGTCCTTCTCCTGCTGCAGGAGGCTTCACATCTCTGGGTCACCCTGGGCCAGGCTGAGGGCTTGCCTGCACAACTCCACTGTGGTCTGCCCCTCTCAGCCCAAACACCCTGAAACCCTGGGTAAGAGGGGCTGCAGCATGGGGTGGTGCATGAATAGTCAAGAATCATCGCAGTCAACAACTAAATACCCACATCTTAAAAATGGTTGTACAACTGTTAAGTCCTGTTTGAGAGGACTCTGGAGATACTGTGCAGCATAGTTAAGAAAACCTTAATGAGGAGATAAACACTAAGTCACAGTATTTGATGCAACTCTCCATTGTGTTCCAAGTTGAGGAGAGCTGAAGTTTCTAAGGGGCTCTTTTGTTGTTGTTGTCTAAGATTACTACTTTGGTGTCGTTTGAAAGAGTGAGCTTGTGCAAAACCACTTTCATCACAACCAAATTATAATACTTTGCACCGGGGGCTCGGAAACAAGGGAGTTAGAATAATGTGTCGTTTGATGTTCTGAACAATCCATTAAATGAAAGGCAGTGGGCAACTTGTTATTCAGTGGAGCGGTTATGGAAAACCTTGGACATGAAAAATGTAATGTGGGCGGGCCAGACATGTAGTGACTTAGTTATCAGGAGTCTTGTTTGTTGAAGGCGGCTTGTAGCTGCATGAAAGTTATGCAGCTGTTTTATACTGGACTAATAGACTGTTCAAGCATAAATATATTTTGAAGCAAGTCTCCTTTCATCTTTTGTGTTCATTGTGTTTTCTCAGCCTTAAGTGTATTAAATATTGCACAAAAAAAACAATAATTCTGGGACAAACAGTAGCACTTTTTTCTCTCTTGACATCCAGAGATCAGACAGACACAACAGCATTTATACAGCTGGACTGACAAATTGCAAATACACCAAAAAACACATAACATGCATCTTTCATCAAGGTTGAGGTGACCTGGGGTGACAAGCTGACCTAGTTTGTAATAATAAGTGATTTTCCAGCTGCTCTTGGGAGCAGGAGAAAAGAACCTGTAAGGCAGATACAGGAGGATCTGTGTGTAAGCTAAAAAAAAAGCCCTAAAATAAATAACTATTTAAATATTGAACACATGCACAGTAATGTCTGCCATACTGACAGAGAAATTATATCTGTGACCGCAGAGACCTCGTAAAGGAGAAAACTTTCAAGGTGCAAAGTGTAATAACAACACCAGAACTGGAAGGAAGCCAAGGACGTGAGAACTCTGAAGAAGACATAATCAGTCCCTCTAATATGAACAATAATTAATTTGATAGTAAAAAACAAACACTTCAAGCAAGTCAGTTCATGTTTCCAAAATTACAGATGATTCAGTCCCTAAAGATGCAGCCATATTGTTTTATTTAGTCAAGAAATCACATTTTCAATTAGGAAGTAAATTTTAGAATTAATGTGTTCACTTCTATTAATGCATACTCAGCAAACACAAACTCTACACACAAAGTGATATCATGGAACAATTCGCTGCCTTTTTTTTTTGTTTTGTTTTGTTTTTTAAGACAACCTGGAGCTTTCGGTAGTTGAATGTAGATTCAGACAACACAAAGTTCACATATTAAAAATTATCATAAACACAATTTGCTATAACACATTAACAGGTTTTGGCTCAAGCTGCGCTCACTGACATGTTGAAAATGTGTTTAACAACAGTTCATCTCATTTTGAAAACTGAACATCATTTTGAAGGACGTATGAAAAGTCCCAGTTTAAGCCTCATACGCAGAATTCGTCATCCAAAGTGCTGCTGGTTCTGCTCTGTCTGAAAGTTGTGGTCCGGACAAACTTTCTGCACCAGCCTGTAGTCGGTGCTGGTGAAGGCAATGAAGATGCATATAACCTTAAAAGGCTTGGCACAGATCCAGGCTGCCTGGGACTGGGTGTTTTCTGAGTAGCAGGTCTGGCCCGGGTCATACATGCAGGGCTTGGTCTTCTTGGACCGGTTGGTTCTCTGGTACTCAATGCGGCAGTTGAGTTCTGTCACCATCATAATGTCCTGCTGCTGCTTCTGCTGGTCAGGAAGGGTGGAGCTGGTGGACTGAGGAGGGCTCTGGAACTGGGACGTCTCCTCTGGAACCAGGACTGAGTTTTTGGTGTGACCAGTCTCAATTGATGGGTCCAGAACCTCCCATCCTACAGTTTTAGAGGGTGGGACAATACTGACGGATATGTTCCCCAGACGGGATGAGTTATGGCGGAAGTAGACGCTGAATGTGCCGTTGATGTGGTCCACAATTTTCCCTGTCACTAGGAGGCTGAACTTCACTGTTTTCACGTTAAAGTAAAAATCTCCCCAGCCCAGGATCTTCTTGGCCTTTGGGGATGTTTTAGCAGGAGGTTTGGTTTTTGGAGGTGTGCGGTACAGATACTGGTCCAGGGCTTGGGAGAAGTTCTGAGGCCATCCGTAAGGGCTGACAGAGCCATAAGCAGGTGTTTTGTGTTTGGTGGAGATGATCTGTAAATCTTTGGAGACATGCTTGACCTTCAGTGCAGCTCCCACAGCATCCTCTCCTCCTGCCTCCTCCTCCCTCCATTGCTGACTCTGAAGATCCAAGACCTTGGCTGTTTCTTGGACCTGCAGAGAACAAAACAAGCATGAAGGACTAACATTTGCATGTCTGTGGCACTCTTTTCTTATCATTTAAGAGCTTGATTCAACCAAATCACATACAAAAGCCAAACAAACAAGACTACGGTCTCCCCTTTTTCAAATCTTCCCTATAGTGTTCACCTGTCATGCGAATAGTTTTGGTTCCAACTTTCCAGGTTTTAAGATTTCTGCTGCCTCCCCGATATAAAAGACATGGACAGATTTTGTTTGTGTTGCTCACAGAAACCTCACTGTGGACAGTTTTCAGTGAAGCTACTATGCACCAAAGAAACAGTTCCTCTCAAAAACCCTGGAAATATGTTCTGTAGATCATCCAGATATGTTGCTGTTGATTTTTAAGACTGGATATCTCAAAACTCAATTCTCTAATATAAATGTTTTTGTTATTTGAGTAAACCAACCCTTAAATGCCCCAAAAAGGGAAAGTGTACCATATTTTGACTTCACTTTATTTTATAGGCTGTGCAATCAAAGTCATTGGAATTTGTTTTCAGTACAACATGGAAAAAAGGCTCAGCATGACGTCCGCAGAACAACATTGCTAAAAAGTAGTGGTCAGTGTCAGTTGTTTTATGGAAATCTGTTGTTGAGACTAATACTATACTTGTGTTTATATTATTCCATACTCACCATACTTTAACACATATAGTTTTGAAGTATTTTGTCAGCTCTGTACTATAGAAAGAGACAGGAAAGGCTGGATAGAAAAAAAACCCCGTAGACCACCTGGGTGACTGCAAATGAAGGACACATTCACTGTAGCTACTTTACAAGACAGAAAATATTCGATTAAAATAATTATGCCCTGATGTTTCAGGTCCTCTAAATGAGAACTAGTTGAAATTGACTGTGATCAATACTGTAGGTCAACTCCTTCAGGCAAGGACTACAGGAAGGAACATGCACGCCCACACACACAGTCACATTCATGCAGTCATTAACACATTTTCATTTAGCTGTCCTCCTTCGTCCTCTTTCTTGCTCCCTTGTTTAAACTCTCAATTCCCTTTTCAATGTGACCTTGTAATGGACTGAATCTACGGGCTTATTGATCAGTATGCTTGGAAGAGAGAGAAGCATGGTCACCACTCAGGTCAGTACTGAAAATACAGCAGAAAATAAATAAAATAATACTTTGAATATTTACAGCACACAGTGTAAAAAGGGTAAAAATGTGCAATTTGTTGGCAGCACCTTTTTCATATTGAGCTTCTTCTATACTGAAAATGTCTCGGCTGTCTGTCTGGAATCCCTATTTAACCTTTTTACTTCCTGCTATCGTAAATATTGCAGTTTTCATTCTCAAAGTGATTTGGAATACATGTGTGAAATTAATAAGGGATTAAGCTTTCACCTGGCTTCACCTTGTCAGGCTGTTGTTTCATATGAACAGCAGTTTATGTTTTATTTGCAGCTGTCATTGCTTTTTTCCTTTCACTGTCCCCTCTGACCTGCTGTCTCCCAGATTTTTACATTTTTACACTGAATACAATATCTCAGACAAATATTTTAATTTAACTTTTCTCAGGTCTTTTCCTGAAATAATACAAGATTAGATAGTAAGTAAATAACTTTGAGATTATTTGCTAAACTGTCTTAACTTCTTGTTAAATTCTGAACACAGTGCTGATACTAAAATTATCACCATTTATTCCTCCAGTAAATACACATTTTTAAGTGCAGGGTTTATTGCAACTAGCTGTTACCTGTGTTTCTGATAAGTACAAGTAGTAGTTGCTTTTGTCATAGTGGCACTGTTAATATTTTGGTTTTCATAGCTCACACAGAGCAGAAGACATCAGTAACATGATTAATTCCACTTACCGTAATTAAGGGCATGCCAAATTGATGAAGCAGCTTATAGCATCTTATAAGTCAAGCAGCCATGTTTTTTACAATACACAACTCCCAGTAATTCATAATAAAGTTATGAATGAGGATGTTTATGTGTGCACAATTGACAGGCAGTACTGTGGTATGTCTGAGTAGGATAAATGTACAGACACAATCAATACCAATGTTAACAGCCCTGAGTTAAGGGTAAAAATTAAGTGACATGAAACTCCTAGTGTCAGGTTTGATAATTAAATCATTAAAACACTTCTACTTTAAGCAGATGTGTGGTTCCATGCACTGCTTGTTTAGGACTTGATTTCTTTATTCATCATAATGTGATGAATGCAGATGGAGGTTCAGTGTTATTCTCTCTCAGATTTCTGAATAAACAGCTCCCAGGATATCATTATTTCTCACAACAAGTGGGATCCACATCCTCCTTAACTATTCCATCCCTCTGTGCCAATCTCTGCCTTCTCCTTTAACCAAGTGAGCTCCAGCTGTGCCTATTGTTACAAGCCTAAACCTCCAGCTATGAGCTATTCTCACCTTCACTAATTGGAGCCCACAGTGTGACAGCCGTGTCACTGGCTCTGTGTCAAGATGCCAGCACAGCAACTGCAACTGAGCAACAGCGTTGGAGTGGATGCAAGCACAACACCTGCGCAAAAGCACCTGAAGAGGAAAAAAACTGAGAAACGGGAGTGTAGTAGATGCATTTTTAAGGCTAGAGAGAACACGTTGCCAATGGCTAAAAAACTCCTTCATGTGTCAGATTTCCCAGCTTTACAAAAAAACTATGTGACAAGGTTTTTAAGCCCAAGGGTGATAAAACTTTTTCAAACTGACAAGGACGGTGCACTCATTTAGTTAGACTATAAAGAACAAAATTAGGTTGCTTTGAGGCTTCACCTGACATGCTCAGTATAAAAGTTGCAGATTTTGCAGATGGCTGCTCAGCCAGCAAAGTTAAAAAAGTTAAATTAAAGACAGAAGAGCAGATTAAATTAGAACTGAAAGAGAATTATAGACCACAAGACTGGAACAAATTAAATATTATGAGGATGGCACACTTCACCAGAAGAGTCCCAAAACTTCCTCCTCATGAGATGCAAGTCTTCCGTTCTGAGTCTGACTATAAAAAACCAAATTATATTAGCTCAAAAGACCAGTGCTAGTTTCATTCTTTGAATATACACAACTCAAACTTTTCAACTGAATATCTCCAATTCAAGTCTGAAGTAGCTGTGTCAATAAATTTCATCATTTAGTCAAACCTTAGCATAAACAGACTGACTAGAGTTTGGAATATCATTTGGAAAATTTGCTTTGCAGTCAGAGTTTCCCTGTCAAATTACCTTTTGTCCCCACCAACTACCATAAAGCTTTTTAAAAATGTATTTATTCTGAGCTGTGTATAATTTTTAGGAGCACACATTTGTTCATTTGGTAGATAGCTCCTTTTTGCAACATAAATTCTTCCAGAAAAGTTGATTCTTATACATCCCTTCATTTATAAAACAGCAATAAAAATCAACAAAACTGCAATATGGTGGGCAGATGAAAATTATTAACATATTTGCTTCATTAATTTCACTAAGTTGCAGCAAATATAAGTACATCTACAGAAGATTATCACATCCAGGCACCAATACAACAACACTTTGTATCAAAAATGAGCATACAACCTCAGGAGCAGCTTGTTCATCATACTCACGGCTGAAGGGAGAAGCCACAGACAGGTGATGGCAAAGTTCAAGCACAACGCCCTCATTTTGCAGCTACAGCAGCAACGCTTCTCCATCCAGAAAGTCGGATTGTCTTAGAGGCAATATGCCTGAGTGAATAAGCGGAGATTTGCTGAGTTATAAAACCTGCACTCACTTCAAAAGTAGAGAGCACATTCTGCAGCGAGAGATGCAAAAAGCCCCAAGATGTGGAATGAACACTTGGTTCAGTGCTCCGTCTCCCTCCCTCCGTCTGTGTCTCTCTCACTCTCCTCATCTTTTCTTCCTCTCTCCACCCCTCAACATGCACACACACATACACTGTAGACTTAACACAGCAAAAAAATTAATTAATAAATAGCCTAGTTAAAAATAAATCACTGCCTCAGGAAAAATGTGCTCAGCAAGAATTGATGAGTGGACAATAATTTGAATGTGTTGTAGGCTAATTGGTAACATTTGTCAAAGAAGCAGTGTTGCACTTTAAATGTACACACTCGTGTTGTGTTTTCCTCATTTCAGGGGGCATTACATTGACTTACATTCATTTCCTGGAGACTTACCCTAACCCTACCCTTAAACCAAGTCACCAGTCTAAAATGTAATGATTTATGGGACTTGCTTTTTGTTCCCATAAGGATGTCGAGTCCCCACAGTGTGACTGTGCAAACAAATTTATGTCCCCACAACACGAGTAAAAACAGGCCACACACACATATACACACCTCACTTACTTGCTTGCTCATTTTCACCACCTGGCTGGCCCTTATTAAGAGTCATCAACCCAGAGAACAATGCTCTCATGCAGGCACAGTTTGACAGCCCGTCCTGCTGTCCTCACATACTTTAGCCACGGGTATGCTGACAAAATGACAAGGGCTCTCGCTGGGAAATGTACAAATCACTGACAAGTCTGGTGAAATCCTGCCACCGCCTAAGCCTAACTGTGGAAATTCAGTGCAATAAATCAGTGCAAGTATAGGGCCTGTAGGCCACTAGCCTGCAAGTTGTAAATAGGCTAAAAAAGCATAATGAGGCCCTGGGTAAATAGTGAAACCCACATAGCTTCATGATTCCTTATGTTCAAGTAGCCTAAGAGTCAGCTCAATATCATGAACTGAGACTCTGCTGTGGTGCCATGAAAATGACCCCGGTTTC